CGGGGCCTGCGCGGCCTCCGCCGCGACGCTGCCACAGCGCGGGTCGGAAGAGGCGGCTTTATTCACATCCCGTACAGAGCCGCCACACGGTGCCCCACGCAACCGCTCTCGGTAACAGTTCGGTGCTTTGGCGGCACCAGTCCGCCAGGTCCCGAGCAGCTTTGGCTCCGTCCGGCGCTCTCCGGAGATGACATCAGCGCTGAGCACGGCGGGGGCAGGTGTTATGCGCAGCTGCGGCAGAAAACTTTTTTTTTCTGTTTTAAAATCTGCACAGAAAACACTAGCATACAGATGAAAAAACATCTTAATATCGTACTTATTACCCCTCATACACCATCTTACAACATTTGGCCTTGAACTATTTTGTATTTACACCCCTGTCACCATGCTTGATCAAATAAACTAACAAAGCTGGGACTGAAGACACAGAATCGTAAACCTCTGCCCAATACCGGCCTTAGCAAATAAGTTCTACAAATGCTCTCAGATTAGCCAACTGCCCTCAGTAATGGTGAGCCCCCACTCCACTACATCCCCTTTGCTTGAGGGCAGAAATTCAGGAAGTCAAGAATACTCAGAAGGCAAAACCATCTTGGTGACACGAGGCACGTTCAACTCACCCGACACTGCGTATGACCCTGGTGTTTACCACCCAAGTTTCCTCATGCAGTGTCATTCCAAATCCCTGTATCGCCACGCAGGTGCTCATCATCCTTGGACCCATTAAGAGTTGTCGCTGCAGTCGCCGGTTTGTGACTTACACGTTCAACACTGGTATTTTCAGCTGTAATGTTTAGTTTAAAATATCAGTTATTTCTGCTTTTAAACACCAAACATTTTTGTCACAGAATGCACTAGGTACTTTCAGTGGCTTATTTCAAAACTAAGTTGTGAATTCTGCTTTTGATTATATAGTTTTGATCTGCAGTAATCACATGAACTACCAAACAGGCACAAACACTGTGCAAGTTACATAGTTACTAGTTTAAACATACAGACATTTTACAAAAATTCTAATATGATGGGTTTTCCCTAGAAAATAAATTTTTAAAAAAGAAAAGTTTCTCAAAACAAAAATAAGATAGATAAGTATATCACTAATTTTAAGCTAATTTAATTAGCTCAAAGGTTCACTGTTTTCTTGAAGTGCAATTCTGAACATGAAAGGTGTAAATATATATACAGGGAAATTAAATCCTCCTTATTATTATTACAGTTCATGTAATAATGGGCACAATGGACTGGAAGGAGGGGGGGGGGAGGATACAACCCCACCCCCAACAATAAGAACAAGGAAAAAAAAAGCTTGTCTGGAATTAATCCAGATAAGCCTTGCTTCTTCATAGCCAGCACCAAACAGTCTTTCCTTCCAAAAACTGCATGTGATATGGTACTTACCTAACAGAAATCAAAAAGAGGAAAAAAAAAAAGTGACTAAGAAAGGATAAAACCAAATCAAATAGAGAACATTTCAAGTGTTCTTGAAGTCAGGCCTTGTGGTAGAAAGTGGAGTTACTTAAAAGATGTTTATGTGATATGAATGCCATAACACATCTTTACTTTTTCTTTCACACCTTAAGTACTGGAGACAAACTTCAGTTACAACATCAGTCAAAATTTTTCTATAAAGCTAAAATTTCAAGTCATCAACAGATTTTTTGAGGGGCAAAACAAGTCTTCTTGAACAGGAATCAAGCCCTAAGTATTTACTACAAACTTTGTCTGCTGAATTTTACTTCCATATATTATTTAATCCTTGATGTAACTGAAAACAACATTTGGGTATTCACATTCTGAATAGACAATTATGAAAAAGAACCAAAAAACTCACCAGAATCTCCTTTGTATGCAATACCATACTGACTTAATATATCTTTAAGTTTTTTCATTTCTTTAGAAAGTTGCTTGTATTCCTAAGAAAGAAAATACATTTAAAATGGATCTCCCACTCTCCAAATGCATATAGAAAATGGGATTTAATAAAAAATAAGGGGTCTGTGCACAGCTGTTACAGCTTTTGACTGAAAAGATCTTAAACTGCTTTTTGAAAGAGAAAGGTACAAATTTTATAAAAAGATGTATTTCTATCTTGCCAAAACAGGAGACAGCTTCTTCCAAGTCTGAGAGTACAAATTAGGAATGCTTTCTGTACCTATTTAGGATCTATCCTCTAACCAGCATTTTATCATAACACAAAATTGCATTCTTGAGTTTGCTACAGGACCAACCTAATCTTATTTTATATCATAATGCTACAGTCTGGAAATTCCTCACCTCCTCCACACTGGACTTAGTAACTTCATGTTCTCGCTTTCAGCAGTTGCTGCTAACTTACAGAGCCAGGGATTGCTCATTACTTTTGAGACTCAAACCACGTATCTGAAATCTTGAAGGAGCCCCAATTTTTTATTGTGTTTTGGTTTTCATACAAATGAAGAAAGAGCAAAAGATCGACTGTTTAAGATTCTGCAATTACCAAACCAGCCAACTTTGTCAATTAAGTAAGTCAGAAAAAGAAATACAAATTATTAAATAAAAAAAAAAAAAAAAAAAAAAAAAAAAGAGGTGAATATTCCAGCTCCTAACAGTACCACATCAAAACAGTGATCTTCATATAAGTATATTCAGCTTAACCACAGTTTATTTGGTTATATTCAGGAATTACTACGTGGTGTTTTGTCTTTGCTAATAAAATGACAACAGCAGCTTCTTTGCTGCATTATAATTCATTCCCTTCCATACTCTTTTTATGATGTTGAGTGTGCACTCTTTTAGGCTGAGCACACCTTCTTCCTCTGTTTTCCCCATTTCAATGCTGTTGCAGAAGGACTGTTCACACACATGAAAGTCATTCAGAAATGGACATAGCATAGATCATTCTGCCTTTTGCTTGCACAACAGCCAATACATTCTGACACAAGTCTGGGTAATTATCCACAGAGGGAAGTGTCAACATTCCCAAGACTGGTTACACATTTATTTTCAGTAATAATTCCTTCCTACTTCCAGACTGATACTCTCCTGACAGAGCACTCACAAGATGCCTACATGAATTCCTACATACCACCCCATCTTCTTACCAGCATTCAGTTGTGCTGGTTTGTTTTTGATGTAAGGGCTGGAATAAAGATATCAAATCATCTTGTATGCAGACTGTTATATAGTGAAAGCATAAAATATAATCCCATGAACAGATTTCAGCAAAATCCAAAGAGTATTTACATAATGCTGTCACACTGATACTGTCATACAGTAAAAAGGTGACAATTCCATATTGTAAATATTGTGCTCTATACCTTACTGCACTTCTCCACTGTTTCAAATTCCAGACTCATTTTCTTATTCTGTTTTTCAGCTTCCTTTTCTTCTGTTGCTTTTAGAAGTCCTGCTTCCTCAAAAATCTCTTTCAGTATTTTTTTGTATCCCTAAAAAAGAAAGTTTCCAAAAGACAATATATCAATCCACCCTACTCTCATCTATGCTTGTAATTTGCACTGGCCATTACAATTCCTCAAACTTCACTGGATTTACAAATTAGCAGCTGATATAGCAGTTACAGAGCACAAAAACTGCTATTTGCCAACTGCAGAATAAATGCATCCATTCCAAAAGGAAGAACTGCAGAAGCCAGGTTTGGCTATTTGACAGTGATTGTTCTTTACCAAATAAAGTTGGAAGAAATTAACAAACCTGCTCAGTTATTAGTTCATCATACAGAAGCTGCTCTGCTTCATCCCACTTCCTTTGTAATGCTTCAGTCAGAGTCGGATAAACTGAGAAAATGGAAGTCAAACCATGTAAAAACCAACAGCAGTGTCCTGCAATAGTTAAATGTTCCTCTAGTAGCATGCAAACATATTTGTTTTAAGACCTCAATGTTTCTATGCATTACATAGCCTCTACTACTTTCAAGAGTTGGGGTTAAACTTAAAATTCCGCTTCATGCATCTAAAGTTTCTGGAGAATGTCACTGACCAAGAGTTCTTCTCTTAGTTCCAGTCAGAAGGCCTCATAATTCTTTGCTGAATTTAATTCCAACTGAGCTGTCCCTTTCTGTAATGTAAGTAAATGAGCAGTTACTACAGGGCTGATTCCTACACCCAGTCCAAGGGGAAAAAAAAAAAAAAAAAATCACTCACTGGGTCTATACTAGCAATGACAATTTATTTGATAAATACCTATGAGTTATAATGACTGGGATTTAAAACACAGTTCGAATTATATATTTAATACATATTTACATCAAGTTATAAACTCAAAGAACCTAAAAATTTACACTCTGAGGTTGGCATCATGTGCCAGCTGCTTCACACAGAAATGATTTTCTACATCTTACCTAAAAGAGAGTGGGGATGGCACACAAGAGGAGTCTCAAATGTCAGAGAGTAGACACAAGTACTCGGCTCAGACACATAAGCCAATTTATTGCTCTTTCCACAAACAAGATGAACCTAAACATCAGTAAAAACAAAAAATGAGCTAAACACCTCCACATAAAACAGGACCAGCATTGATGATCAATTTGCTCTCTCCCAATGCTAGCAGATACATTTCTGTACATACTGTCACCCACAGAGAAAGAATCGTAACAAGCACACCTTCAAGTTATTTTATCAAATGTGAAAATCAATTCTTCTAATGGGAAATGATCCCCCCCATCTCATATTGTTCCTTGGACTCCCAAGCACCATATTTCCAGCAAGAAGGAGAGTAAAAAGGACAGTGAACAGGACGCCCTTCAGAACTTCATATGACATAAGCATAATTCACTTAAACTTCAGTTCTGACCAGCGTGCTAAATAAAGAGAACGATACACATCTAGCCTGCAGAAAATTGTTTTCATCTTTTAAATTGCAGCACCAGTATTTTCTGTCTGTTCAAAACTAAATGCCAGCGAAAGGTTTGAATCACAGTATCAAAGATCATACAAGAACTGTAATTCTTTCTGCAGCCCCTATGGGAAATAAAGATGTTAACAAGGCACCTCCATTATCCTTAACTCTTCTTCACAATAGCGATCTATGTCACCAGGGAATGGGAGGTTTAATTCATTATATCTGTAAAACTGTACAACACACTGAAGTGGGAAGTAGAAAAACGTTAATGAATAAACAGATAAAGGACGTGTGTGAATCACATGCCACACACTGGGCAAGTCTCAGACACCCTTCCTTATCCTTCTAGCTGAACAGTTATTTGGCACAGATACTGTTTGAATGTGAGAACAAACATGTTAACCACTCCACAAAATTAGAATTTTTACTTTTTCTTTAAAGTGTACTCACACCAGAATCTGTTTCTCTTGAGTCATTTCCTCTGCCACTCCCATATATTTGATTCCTTCCTTCCCCTGGCATGCCCTCTGCTCTTGTTTTAACACCTTACTTAGCTTCTCAGATGCTGTTAACTGCCTAAATCTTTTCCCTTTTTTTTTCCTGGATGTTCTTAACACAATCAGCTGGCATCTTAAATTCAACAAATAGCTCATTTTCTTTGTTTTTCCTGACACAAATTATAAAGCGCTGTATGTTCCCACAGTAGTGGTAATACCAGAATATTCCACTCTAACAAGGAAAAAGACTTACAAGTAACCAGTGAGAATATGTAAGTAAACTTCTTCAAAATTTTATCCTGACTTTAGCTTCCCTCCTCTATTGACCTAGCTCCTACAAGGATTCATCTTTATGTTTTATATCACATCTTAAATGATGGCTTCTTCAAGGTAGGAACGTTTCAGTCTGTAGTGTCATGAGCGTGCCTAGAGAGTCATGACGTCTGAATCAGCATAGGCTAGGTTATTGTACCTTTGTCTGTCTGTTCTTAGTTTCACATGAGTCTCCTTCCCTCATCCACATTCCAACAAATGTGTTGTTGTCAATTTCCCACTCATGCCAGATTCTGAAAAAACAGGACATAGTTTTATTTTAAGTCACTGGAGAGAAAAAGGTGAACACTCAGGAAGAAAAAACAGGAACACCCTTACACCACATTCAATTTAACTGTATAAACTTAATTTTTGTTATTTTAGTATTTCCATTTCTTACAGCCAAGACCTTATAAACTGTGCAGTTTGTTATCCAGGCTGCCATATAGGGCACATCAAGAGTACTTTGAGAGCACAGTTGCGGATCAGCTTTCAGTTTGCAAACCATGTGCACTTACAAATCCGTGTTTAAAGCCAATAATGCCAAGTACCCTGTGCAACTCATGTCTACAGGATTTTTAGTGCTGGTGAGAGCACCTACAAAAAGCAGTCTCTACTTCTGCTAGTCATCAAGCCAATGATACTGTCAGCATCTTGATGTGCCCTTTTCCTCTCATATTGGCTCACTAATTATTGTGCATATAAGGAAAAAAAGGAGACATCTATTTACAAAATATTTAGAAAGGTAGTAATTCTAAAGCAGTGCTCTGGTTTATAATTAAATTTATTTTAGGTCTTATGATTTGGATACTCTGGGGTCTTTGACTACTTCGAGAAACTTTTTTGGGTCTGCATCAGTCTTTTATTACCTTTTATTAAATATATTTAACACAACCACTAGGCATAAAGCACATTTCATTTTGCAAGGTTATATTCAACTCAAAGCGAGAATAGTGAACAGACATTACATCTTTGTTAATATAAGCTGTAGTTATACATTACTAGTTTCTCACATGAACATTTAGCCTCCAGCTAAAATAAGAGGTTAGTATTTATCAACAAAAAAAATCCAAATTTTTCAAGATGGGCTATTTTTATGCATAACACCCTGGGAACTACACTGACCTAAGCTGACAAATAAAAGAATCTTAATTTTAAAACTGCCTCCTCTTTGTGAATCTATAAAATGGTCTGCTAGGAACACAGGTAAAACTTAAAAGGTCTAAAGGCTCACCCTAAAATCCCGCTATAGGCATTCCATCGAAAAGTCTGCTCATGCTGAGTGACATTATGGAAGGGACAAAACTCATACTTGTAGCTTAAAAGAAAAAAAAAAAAAAGAAAAAGGCAGTAAGATATGTTTCAGACTGAAATAACAAACTAGTTTGTTTCTAATAAATATATAGAATCAAATATCCAAATCCATTACTCACGTGGATTCCACAAAACTGAAACACTTGCCAGCAAGCCTAAAGAGATGTGCAGGGCCTAAAAACACCACAAAATTACATCAAGGAAAAACAATGCTTTTTGTTAAATTTAACCAAGTCACTGTATTGACAAAACTGCAAGGAGTATGTGACAAATTTTCTGCTGTACATAAGGAAATTTCTATCTTCCACATGGATTACTGTAAATTCCCACTAGTGCTATATTGGTTTACATCCCGATCTTTAATATTTTTTGTCTTATATACTCAGGGAAATAGATATACCTCCTTCTACAATAGAAATAACAAACCTGTATACAAATATTTGGAAGCCAGATCCATAAAAGGAATCATCAGTGCAAATCCTCCCAAAATCTAACATTGAAATCACTAGAAGTCTTGCTTGGTGCTGTCTGTCCCCAGTACCATCCAAACTCCCGGTTTACACTAGTAAAGCCCATTTGATCAGAATGTTGACAGTGCTGTGTATTTAAGTTTCCCTTTAAGTCTGTGCCTAAGGTTAGCAGAGAGACGAGGGTTATTTCCTTTTTGCTCACTCTTTGCCTTCAGTGTTTACTCTATGCACTCTCCTCCATATACAGTCTAGAATTTTTTAGATTCCTGTTTTGCTGAAGTGGTGGATATATGTTGCAGCACCCAGGCTTTCATGTGTTAAACTGAGCCTCTAACTTGTTCCAAGACTACTCTTAAGCCTTTTTTTTTTAAAACAATTTTTGAGTATTAAGTACTATCAAATAATGGGGTGACTTTTATATGACAATCTCAAGGATGTCAGGGGTGGTGTCAAGAGGAAAAAAAGTTTTTAGTAAGGATCAGAGGGATTTGGGACTGGCTCAAAAAACAGAGATTAAAACATACCGATAGCACTGTGACAAAACCAGTCCAAACAACACTGGGATATCGGACACTAAAGAGGTTCATCTAGGTTTTAACCCTTCAGAAGCACAATACGATGTATTTGTCCCTGCTTCTTTTCCACGGTACTCATAAAACGACATATAAAATTGGTCTTTGTCTGCATAAAGTTAAGGTAGGCTATTTTGCAAATGACTATCACTAAACGATGAAAACTGTACAAAAAAGGGAACGCTTGCATCTACCTGATATTGCAGACGGGGACATCTTTGGCTGCAGCCTATTCGCTTGAGGCAAGAACGGGTTATTCAACCTTTGCAAAGAAAAGCGACACGTTTGAGGCCGAGCTACGCACCCGGCTGCGGCTACACCCTCCGCCCGCGTGTCCCAGCACCTACAGCCGCGCAGCACGGCGGCCCGGCTCCCGGGGCACCGGCGGAGTCGGCCGAAGCGCCAATCGGCGACGGGGGACCTGGGCGAGCGTGTTATAACCACTGATCCGCGGCCAGACCTGCGCTGCGGAACAAATCCGACCTTCCCTACCTTACACCGACTCCTGAACACGAGGAATAGAGCGGCTTTTATGACATCAGCCTAACACCTTTACACAGCTGGTCTTGGGTGAAAAAAAGCATCTGTAGATAGATCCCAGTGAGAAATCAAAGTACATGGTTAATAGGTTCAATTGTTCAGAATCACGGGCTCCTCGTAGCTACTGTATCTTTCACGATTCCATATTCCAGGTCTTCGCTAGACAACACAATGCAGCAACTAGAAAACTTATTTGGGGGAAATGTTGAGAATTTTCTTCAAATGTGCCCGTGGCATTTTTATGAAGGTGTATTTATTTACTCAGAATAAAGATAAGTCTTTAGAACCTATCGGAGAACCTACTTCTGAACTTTGGTGTACTTTTAAGAATGTGAGCTTTGCCATTAACTGTGCACTTCTGACGTGTTTTTAAACGTACAATTTTTCACATTTGGTTTGAAAGATGGACTAAGCCTTTTTTGCCACATGCATGTTTGGAGGAAAGCACGTTCTTATTCTTTCTCATTGCATCTGTATTTTGGACCACTGTAAAATGTATGCTTTTTGATTGATAATAGGAGGGGGTTGTATGCAAATCTGAGGCCAGTATAAAGTGGCAGTTGTAATTCTCACTTGTCACTTATTTTGTCAACACAGCGATAACAGTTTTTCAAATACAGTGATGCTGCTTTTTTCAGGCATGTCATTGCTCAGAGTGGAATTGCAGTCATAGATTGCTCGTGGGCCAGATTAGAAGAAACTCCCTTTAAGAGGATGAGAGGAAGTCATCTACGGCTGCTGCCTTACTTGGTGGCTGCAAACCCTGTAAACTATGGCCGGCCATGGAAACTGTCCTGCGTGGAAGCTTTTGCTGCAGCTTTTTGCATTGTTGGTAGGCTGTAATGTGTCTGATGTCAACTATGTTACCAGCAGTTCTTCCTTGATAAATGAGATGATTCCTGATAGAATAAGCTGTAGTGCTCCCCCACTGGTCAGCCCCTTGATTTTGGAATCAATTGTCAAGTTTTCTTCCATGCACTTGTGTCTGTTAGCATGGAGGTATCTGAGGGGTGTTCAGGTCAGCTACTAAACAGCACAGGTAAACTGATGATCCCGGTTTTGTCAGGATGGCACTTAACGTTAGAAAAACTGTTAAAAAACCCCAGAAGACAGAGTGCCTTTGTCTTAATGACAAGTAACAACTCTGTTAATAGGGTGGGTACTGGCTGAGAACAAAAGAAATTGCCCCCTCTTGTTACGTTTTGCTAACTCATCACAGAACTTATCTTGACAGTTGAAAAGACATGTTCAACTATACTGCAAACAAATCTTACCTTCTGAAAATGTATGTACAACTGCCCTCTTACTGAAGGGCTATGGGAGCTAGAGCTTGAAACATTCATTACCTGTACAAAATTTTTTTATGTAACTCACTATAAGACTGAGCTTTTCTTGGATTCAGATTATTTCCAGTTAAACTGAAATCTGAAAATATTTTTAATCCTTTTAAAAGTCTGAATCCCCGAACACTGAAAAAGTGCTGGCAAACTTGTCACTGTTGTAGTGATACATACATCTGTACTGCACTTAGAGAAAAAAAAAACCACACCTATGAGCTGAGTGAAATCTCACACTGAAAAAGAAAACTGATCATTTGTTTTCTGTTTTAGGATTCCCAGACCTAGCCACCATTCTTCTAAGGAAGTTTAAATGGGGTAAGACATTTATTGACTTGAACAAGAATCTCTTGGAAAAATATGCAGCCTGTCAATGCCAGGAAGAAGTGCTGAGAGTTGAAAAGGATTTTTTATCCAATGTCCAAGAAACAAAAGACAAAGAAATAGGTAAGAAAAAACACAGACATATAGCACACACCTCCTTTTCCTAATTTCCTGGCAAGCTGAAGAGCTTTGTTGAGATGTGTGGCTCTGTCTTTATACTGTGTATTCTTCCTATAAGCAAGTTTGTGTATTTTTTTTCAAATCAAAAAAGATGAAAAAGACTAAAGCAATTTAGTGCATATAGTAGTGCATTCACAGCAGAACTGTGGAGCAGATACCCTGATCAGATTAAGGATACTGGAGAACGAAGGAGTAAAAAGAAAATAAAGTGCTTCCTCATTTTATCTAGAGATGTTAAAAGCAGAGTATGAGTAAAATGACTAGTAATTTCATGAAATCTGTAAGAGAAATAATAGGCATACAGTCTGACAGCTAGTTAGTGATACATAAACCTCAGAAAGACTGTTAATGGACATGTTTATATAGTCCCTAATCAGAATGTTTAATATCAGACCTATAAGGATAATGAAAATAACATAGCAAGAGCAGTAGTTTGTCCCCAAATCCTTCCAGTAACTTACTGGTATCGCAGTATTTCAGGCTATATTCTGTCCTGGTTCAGCCAGGATAAAGTTTTCCCCAGCAGAGAAGAGAGAGGGGGAAGGGATCTCCAGCCGGGTTATTCATACCATGCTGAGGTCAGGTCCAGGGGCCTTTTCACTTTCGCTTCTGGTGTTGGTTTTTGCCATACACGCGGCGGGTTTGCTCCTTGATCATTTAGCGGTATTTCTCTGTATATCTTTTGTCTTGTTCACTGTTATTGCTGTTTATTGTTGTTACCATTGATACTGTTGTTATTCAGATTGTTCTATCACTCTGTTGTATTAAATTTCTTGTTATTTTAGCCGGGGTCTGTGTTTAACTTCCAGCCCGACTGGCACGGGTGGGGGAGGGGCAACAGCCACATGCTCTCTCATCCTGGCAAGAATTAAACCTTGCACAATTCACAGGTGAGTGCTTGTCTCATTTAAGACAGCACAAAAAAAAGCCAAATCAAATGATCAAGAACATATGAAGAGATGCTCCTAATTAATGTTTTCCTTTCACAGTAGTGAAGTCCCATAAAAACAGGCCAGGGGATCCCACTGTAAGGAGATGGTAGACAGCCTTTAGTTTCTCTGAACTTTGATCTCTTTGTCATGATATGCTAGGCTGAGTGGAATAATCCTGTTGTTTGGTGGAAGCCTAACTACCGTTACATTAAACCGAAGACAGCTCCTAAGGGGCAATACTCCTATGCCAAATAAAGCACTTCCACCCACAGTCCTATGCATTTTCTGGATGGACTGTGGTACCAAAGTGATCATGCCTTGTTTGACTTCTCTGAGGTAAGAGTCCTCCCCAGCTGTCTAAACCAAAGCAAATCTAGCCCTGCCCTTACTCAGCAAGAGCTAAACCTGGACATGAACTAACTAGATAGCTTCTTTCAGAACTAAACCATTCTGAGGACATGTTTTCTTACCAAAAGCCTTAGAAACCTGTGTGTAGTGTCTGACTACCCCTAAAGAGCTACTGAACCCCTTGGGGGTGGGGGCCACAAATGGCATGGAAAAGAGTAACTAGAACAAGATAGAACTTGACATTTGTTTCTTACCTCCCCTGGTTTCTGACCAAACTACAATGGTAGACTCATCAGAATGCTGAACCAGATTTCCTCTGCCTTCCCTTCCCTGCCAATAATCTTCTCTTAAAATAAAAATGAAGGCAGACGATTAAAATACACCTTCTTCATCAATTGTGTGTTTGTTCTTTCTTTTTCCAGATCCATTTGATGTTGACTCAGGAAAAGAATTTTGTAATCTCAACAGACCAATCAATTCTCAGGGGTAATGAAATTTAATTTAAATACTATTTCTCTTATTATAATTTGCTTTGCTTTTATAATCCTGAAAAAATGTTTCCAGATTAGCACAAAGTAATGAAGAATCTGAGGAGGACAGTGTGAGCACGCCAGACGATGCCACTGAAAGCAGTGCTGAGAGCAGTCCAGAAGATCACGGTAGTGTAAAGTTGCTGCAACAAGAGCCAATAAATCAACTACTTGAAAAGTAAAGAAACCCCCAAACTCATTAACACACAGAAAAACCCCACATACCACAAGAACATTTAAAAAAATCCCCCAACAATCCCAGAGTTGTAACATCTTGTATAAAGAAATTTTATTGTGAACAGTTAAGTGTGGCTTGTTCACCTCTAACTTGGTGCTTAGCAAATGCCTTCCTTTGGGTGAACCTTGGGCTCTGTGTGAGTTTATAGTCTGTCTATGCACGTAAAGGCTTTAGGTTATTTAGTTTTTAGACAGTTGTTTATGGAGTGCTAATTATTATGTAAGGAGCCTGAAGTTTGGTTCTAAGTTTAAAAAAAGCCTGTACTTTAATCAATGTGTCTGGAGAGTGGTTGATAGGGATTATTTCTACCTAATAGGACATTAAGGAAACCCTTCTAACTTCTGGGCTATATTTCAACTGGAAAACATGACTATGTGATTGCCCAGTTCAGAGCACCTACCCCATAAGGAGTCTCTGACTTTTTGCTTGAACCTGCCACATGTATTTCAACTACTTCATCTAGTTTAGGGTAAACTGACTACCAAAGCTTAAAGGGAAAGAATGCTTCCTGGAATTGTTTTAACATCTCAGTATGTCTTTTTAGTAACTACATGCTATTTTTTTATTTACCCTGATAGAGAGTCCTAAGCAACTTAACAGTGTTTTGGCACTTTATACTCAGATGTACCACAGAATGCTCCTTTGCGTTTTCAGCACCCAACTGGAACATACTTGAGCCTAAACTTCAGCAACCCAGTAGAACTGGAGGTACTATCGAGGACAATTCGTAGTGTTACCTTCATATATACAATTTCTTCAAGTCACAGCAAGATTTTCACCTCTCAACCTTCTTCTACTAGAGATTAAATGCTAGCCCTACTGGAGCTAGAATTGGGAGTCACGGCAGCAGTTTTAGTGGTATAAGTATTCCATTTCCATTTAAAAAGAAAAAAAAAAAAAGCTCAAATTAATTTGACAGGGAATCTTTTCCTTTAACTCACTTTCTCAGTTACTTTCCCACCCCAAGCATATGCAGCCTTTCCCAAATCAGCTGTTGGAACAAGGATTTCTAGATAGTGACAACAAAACAATCCTACACAATATTTAAAGGACTGAGAACAATGTGATGGTGGTAACTATTCTAATTTAGGGGAATGCTTTAATGTTACAAAGCTATCATAATCAAATGCAGAGAAGCAGAACAGATCTGAGAACAGAGCTGTATCACACTTAGAGTAACTTCAGTCTCTAGCAGTAGCCATTTCTTAGTAACGAAAGCACTGAAGAAGCTACAGCTCAGATGGAACAAAGTTCTTCACAATTCATTTGTTTTGCAGAATGACTTTGATTGAAAAATACAATAAAAAAAGCAGTGAAAGTTTAATAGAGGGCATATCAGCTTGACATACATGAAAATAACTTACATAATTTAACTGATTTCCTTTACAGAAGGAAACTGCAATTGCATAGAGCACGTCCTTTTCCTAAAAGCTATATACATTGACATATGGAAGAAGGCACAGAAGTATTTCTGATAAACAAGTACCATTTAAAATTCCGTTGCAGTAGGTCCCCTTGCATTCATCATACAGCTTCTATGATCGTATCAGTCTAACGCTTGTGTTATTTTATGTTAACGTGGTCACACCAGTATGTTGATCCCGTTATGCACAGTAAGCAAGTGGTCTCTAGCTAGTCAGGCATTGCGTAAGCTGTTTAAGGAACTGATCAAAGGTGAATAGCTGCAGTTACCACTCAGGGCCCAAAGAAGGGCCACATTCATGTTGGGGATGGTGGGGCAGGGAAAAGAAAGGAAGGCAACATCTAAACAAAAGGTAAATGCAGCATCACAGGCCTCAGAAACAGGACTTGAACTGAATTGTGCTCAGAGCCATTTAAATGGCAGTCTTTTAATCATTTTAATGAAGATAAATGAAACAAAGCCCTTTATATAAACAGTTTATTTACTCTAAACAGCAACACAGACAGAACGCCATATAAACACAAAGGAAGTGATGCAGAATAAGGATGCTGGCTGACTTTGGATCTCAGAGGCTCTTAAGCAATAACAACCTAGTTTCTGAACGATAGAAAAACAAATTCAGGGAGGGAAGGGGGTGGAGGGCATGATTTTTTTTTTTTTTCATACAGCCAGCTAGAGGCTAAATATAGTTCTAACATTTTAAAGCATGCCTGCATCAGATAGCAAAGTAACTAGAGATACTAGTGAATTTATAGAAGTATAAAAGTTTATAATTTTACAGCAGTTGAAATACTGACATCAATATTAAAATAAAAGCAAGTTTTACATAACAATCAAAAATACAAAAGACTGAAGGAAGAGACCCTGTATGAAAAAACTGGGGGCAATTCAGCAAATTTAGAACTGTATACAAGTGGCGAATATGGAAAATGGCACACATACGACCCCCTCCCCTAAGTGGATATTAATTGTACATAGCAACATTAGATTTTGCAAAAGTTTTGTAAACAAGTTCTTGCCAAACCAATCCCTTCCTTTTTAAGATGCTGCATGACAGATGCTTATGATGGTGCAAACTTCTTGGCTTGTGCTCGAACCCTCTTTTCATATTCCACTCTGTTTTGGCTGAATAGAAGAGAGAAAGGATTATTACAGCTTGAGAAATCAAGAGGCCATATTATAGAGTTACTGTTCTATCTCTCTTCAACATGAAACTTAAAGTCGTTGCTGAAGGCAAAACAGTTAAGATAGGAATTCACTGAACACTACCATATATTTAAGGCTTTTCTGGACCATTACCTTGATAATTTGGAGGGAAGTACAGTATAGTTTAACTATTTACTTCTCAAACTTCATCTGTTGTCAAGTGATTGTACTATTTGACTTCATACCATACCAGTCTCTCTCAGGTTTGTGCCTGCTCTTTCTCTAGGCCAGCCGTACCTTACATCCAAGCATTCTCACCCATCTGAACAAGTCTTCCACTCCCCATGTTAAGACCTGAGGTCATCAACAGTACCAGTATCCTAATGGCACAGAGTGGTTGAGAGCAGTTCACTAACAGTTGGTGGACTTCATATGATTATAAAAGTATCATCTTTACTGCTTTGGGGAGAGAGGGGAAGCGTGCTTTAAGAAACTGGAAAATGGTAAGAGTATGGTAGTTTCAGCCTTTATCTCTGCAGACCATGACTCACAGGGTTAGGTTTATCCTGACCTTCAGTTGAAAAAAAGCTAGCTCAGCATTCTGAAAAAACACTGTACTTCATTAAGACTAGCATACTTGCAACAGATTGATTAAACAAGCAAGTACTACTTCAGGGAACTCTGACCAGTCATTAAGCCTCAGACTCAACAAATGAAAGGGCAAGTTCTTTGTTTTCTATTCTTGGACAAATGAGGGATGGTAGTAGCTTAGCAGAGCATCCATTTACATTCAGCACCATATTTTGTATTAGCTGTCAGAAGTGTCAGTCAAGAGCTAAACAAAAATTTGTTACCATTACTCTTGTGCCAAAGGTAGCTTACAGTGACTAGATTTTGCAGACAGCTTTGCAGTAAACTTAACTTACTTTCAGCTATGAAGGCTTGCTGCAGTAAAAAAACAAAAGAGGCAGCAAATTATATCCTCAGAAGTTGACAGTTTGGGGGGAAGAAGAAATGAAGCCCATTTTGGTCACATCCAACGAACAGTAACTGGCAAACAGACTGAAAGTACTCTAGTTTCTTCTCATAAATTTACAAACTTTATTTTAACATTCTCTTTAAGTTGGCATTGTCACATGAGAACGCAACCTAGCTGTTAAGTCTTACACCCTCAGAATCCACACAAAAGAATGCCTGCTGTGGCAGACTCTGCATGCTTGCAGCAGGGAGGAAGTAGGTTAGCACATTAGGAGTGCTAGTTACGGAGTGACAGTACCAAAGCAATCCTGAGAATAAGTATTCTTATTTTGAATACAAAGTTTATTCTTGAAGTTTAACAACTTGACTAAAAGACATCTATTTATACAACGCTGCATCTTCCCCAGTATTTATCAACTATGCCAAATTACAGATGCATACACCATCCTGCTCTGTTGAGCAGCTTCTACCAGTTACTCACTAGATAGTAAGACACACACACTCAGGCTGCAGAAATATAGTAACCCATCTGAAATACTATGCATGTCCAAAATACATGAAGAGGATGAAATGGATAATATATATATTTGAAGTAACAAAAAGCATATGTTATAGTTTATTCTCAATAGATTTTTTTTTTTCCTATAAGTGCTTACAATAAAGCAGGAACAAGACTAGTAAAGTCTCGGTTTGTACATACATGCATGTGGGAAGTGATAAAACACACAGGCTGTATAAAAATATATTATTCCTGCCCCATATTCCCTCAGAGTGGTTTTACCAAGAAAAAAAAAAAGGGGGGGGGGGGGGGG